ATGATCTGATGGATTTTTTCTTATCAGCCTCATTTTCCTTCTTCTCTTCCTCCTCTACAACCCAGACTGAGATATTTGATATTCCACCTGCAGTTCTTACTCAGCTGAGATCCAACTAACTTTATCTGTGCTATCAGCTGGTTCTGGTTTAAGAGAGACTTCCGTCATTGGAACGGATTACAGGAAATGAGTGTTGCATTGGAAAATATCTTCCTCCAGCATCCAACGTAATCCCCGATAACTACAATTTTTATTAAACTTCTGGAATAGTCAGGATGTATTCGGCTATTATCTCAGCTGGCCGACCTGGAAAGGGCTGGAAGCCCCAGCATGGCCACTGTAGAGGAGCGGTAGGGAGGATGAGAGTGGCTGGTGTAAATCTGTCACATATGATGACGTGAGATCACAACAAGGCGCGTCGCATTAACATTTTACATGCGTGCGGCCATTGGCACCATTATTGTGGACATTTCCTCTTTCTTCATTAGCAGTAGATTAAATTCGGCTGGAAAATGGCCTAAAAAAACCATGTTGGAATCTTTGTTCTGAGCTGGCTGCCGCCGCCTTCCACCACAGTACACCACGAGCTGCAGGATCAAGGCGGAATGTTCATGTTCCTCCAGGCTCCATATCAATGAAGATAATTTTCTCCCTGTCATCCGGAAGCCTGGCTTCCAATCTTTATATCTTCAAATGCAAAAGGCAATTGCCTACATAACAGGAGCGCTGTCTGATCAGCAGACTCGCAATGTCAGTCAGACGCACAGATGAGTAAAAAGGAGGCCTCCTCTAATGTCGGGGGTAAGAGATGTTCAGCCGATCTGTCGAATGAAAGATTTATTAACGTGTTATTCTTTCATGGCTCTTCTAAGACAAATGGCCAAACGCACGTTTGCTTTCTTAAATGGAAGCTTTGGCGTCGCTACGCCAAGCACATGCTTTGAGTTATCATTGGGACCTGTGAGACATTTTATGACGTGATTTTTTAATTGATGCAATTCCATATTTTGATTATTATATTTCAAATATATTCTGGCTTAGTGCTCCCTCTAGTGGTCATCCGTAGATCATGAAATGAGGATTTTCACCTTTTGCAGTCACTTTCGAGAAAACCTACGTTTGTTATATGTTCCTATTCACACAGCATACAGAAAAATTACAGTGGTACCTTGGTACAATTCAGTTCGCAAACAGGAAGTTCAGCAAAATATTGCTTCCGTTCAGGAACTCCGTGTTGGGTGACGAACCCAACCACAGCTATCTTCCCCGCTCTGACGCTGGTTGTGGCTTCCCCAAGTCAAGATCGCAATCCGATCACAGTTTGATTCGGTTTGCAACCAATTCGGTGCGCGACCAGAAACGTGGAACAAATTAAGTTCGTGAACCGAGTACCACTGTATTTAAAAAATTGTTTCTTACCTGTTTTTGATGTTTTGTTATAGCGGGCAACATGGCTGATTCCATAGTTTTCTCAGCACCTTCACAGTGATCTGCCCTAGAAAGATTTAGAACTGGCAATTGAGGACTGTGCTTCTCTCATTAACTTCATTAGCATTTGAATGCAGAAGTAAGGTAATCCTTTAACCACTGGTTCTCAACTGGTGGGTCGTGACCGGAATGTGGATCGCGACCCCATGCTCACATTTTTTGCAGAAGACGGTGTATCTAAACCTCTGCTTTTAACCTTAGTGGTTAGACAGGTTTTTTTTTGCATGCTGGCTGGTGAGTGTGCTGGGAAACTTTTTGCTGTTTTACTGTTTGAAGCCCTTCCATGTGCACCTTGCTGTAAAGCTGGTAACGAATTGATGAGTGCATTTGCCATTTGTTTTCCCATACTCAAAGGGTCGCGACCCCATGTTCAGTGGTAGGAACAGAGACACCGGCACTCCAAATTAGCAAAAGAACATCTGTTTATTTGACGTGCAGCACAACAACAACGATTGTTTCGGGGCCACAGAGGATCCCCTTCATCAGGCGAAGCATACATCTGTATGCATACAACAGATACATCTGTAGCATACAACAGATGTTCTTTGTATGCTTTGGAGTGCCAGTGTCTCTGTTCCTATATCTGATTGTTACGGCTGCCACCCGTTGACTACCGCTGCACCAGTTTTTCTGAGGGATCTTAGCGGTCAGGAGTGCGATGGGACCATGGACTCTCCATGTTCAGTGGGTCACGACATGCCTTCCTTCTAGGTGAGAGACTTCTCACCCTCCCCCTAGTGCAGCACCGTCAGTTGTGCAGAGCAGCCATTCAAAATATGGCCCTGCGCGTCAGCTTGAGGTGGGGTGGAAGGATGGCCATAAGGGAGCTCCATCCATACGTGCATTGCTTACAGCTCCCACATGTGCCCTGTAGAGGGGCCTGGACTGCACTGACATCACATTCTGGCTCCCGACACTTCTACAGGGCACGCAAGGGAGCTGTACAGGCAATGCATATACTGTATATGGATGGAGCTCCGTCACAGCACAGCAGCCCACACTGGACCCCAGGCTGAGGATCCACTCCAGTTCTCGTAAGGAACGGAGACTGGATGGATCTTAAAAAAAGAAAAAAAGAATATAATTTTTTGTTTGGGCGTGTCTGTGAGTGTGTGAGATTGTGTCTGTGGTTGTGTGTGTCTGTCAGTGTTTTTGAGGGTCCGTTACCACTAGTGCAGTGCGTTAATTGCACAGCCCCATGCAATTAATGCACTGTACCACGCAATCGCACCTACTGTGTGTTCTGGTGTGGAAGGTGCCTTGCATTGCCATTAATTTGAATGACACCCCAAATGAACCTAATCTGATCTCACTTCTATTTCACAATGTAGACCTTTCCAGAGCCTCCAGAAAAAGCTCCCGAGGTTGCTTGTTGCTCCCCACCTGCTTACTGCAACTGATAAATATAAAATGTTTACGTGTAATATATTGTATATACTGAACAAAGAAACACTTCGTAAGCAAAAGAAAATAAAGGCAAATAAACGTTTAACATTCCCTGGCATCCCCCGTCTACCCGACTGCCTAAGGGGTCTGAGCCGTGACAGCGTTAAGAAAGTTTTCACGTACGCGCCATGTTCTGCCGATATAGGCTCTCCACGCTGCTTCTCGAAATGATTATGAAATGAGATGGCTAATCTCTAAGCAAATAGCAGCCCTGCTGGGGAGTCACTTTTATTAAATCATGGCAGATGAAAGGTGAAACGCGTCAGCACTATTGATCGGTGAATGAAATTTACACTGCGAGTGAAGGCAGCGCGCCTCTCCTCCGGCAAGCCTGACAAGGCTAAAAGCTGCACCCTTTCAAGTGTGGAAGAGCTGCCCTTAAATGTCTCCGGCTGCCAATAAAGCTTTGAATTGAAATACTGTCACTTGCGTGGTAAGAGAGTGAACATTTTTCTTAAAGTAGACAATGCATTGAAATGCAAAGTCTGCTTATTAGTTAGACCTTCGCCTCTCCCGGCAAGCCCATTGTTTGTATCTAAGGAAAGGAAGAGAGCCTTTAGGGAATGCAAGGGAGCAAAACAAAATGGCAAAAAAATTCAAAAGAGTTAATACAGAAATAAACAAGACTGTGCCCAGCAAAAAAATCACTTTATTGTAAATACTAAAAGTAT